TTTTATGGGGCACCCTGTACGTGGATCAGGCTTTTACGTTTAAGTACTAGTTAAAACATGATCAGTCCGTGCTTTATCAGATATAAAACCGAGCTGCGCTCTCGTCTTTTATATCTAATAAAGCACTCAATGCTCGTGTTTTGGATAGTGAATAACGCACTCACTGTACAAGCAGTTGAGGTTTTGTGATAGTTTGAAGTAATGTCAGTGCATGGTTTTTGATAGTGATACAGTGCATCGTTGTTGCGTAATTAAAAACATTGAATAATCTGTGTGGTTTACTTTTTCCAATGGTTCTGCACTGGGAGTTTATTAGAGGAAGGGGTGGGGGGGGGGAGGGAGGATATCGAGGCTGGGGGGGGGGCTAAATAAACTTTCACGTTCTTTTAAAAAATATCAATTGAGCTCAGACAGAATGACCATTAGATTTTAAAGAAATTTTCATACAATTCGCCGTACACTACATCCTTCCGGAAAGTACGTCATCTTGGCTATAGACCATAACTATAGACCCATTGCACATGACGTCACAGCGCTGGTGACGATGCATCTGGAGGACAAATTAGCAATCTATGTATATGTATATAAAGCAAATTTTGTAAAACTTTTGGTAAAACTGTGACGTTACTTTCTGGAAGGGTCATTGAACTGAATATAACTGGAACGCTACAGACCAACTCGAAATTTGAAACCAAATTTGAAGGCCAGTCCCAGTCTTTTCACGCAAGCGAAGAGCGCTCAATCAGTCAATCATGATATAATTAAACACGCGGATCTTAAAAAAAAGATAGGCAGTTTATCTGAAGGTAGCGTTCCAGTTCAATGGGAAGGGTGTGTTTGCCGTATCAGTGAACGATATTACAGGGTGTCCCAAAAAAAACACAACTATTGAAATAACGTATTGTTAGAATTTGAATGCCCTAGCACTAAGCTGAACGCAAAGATACGTAAAATATTAACAGGGTGCATACATCAAATATTCACTTATTAAGACATTCAAATATCTTTGTAAAGAGCAAAATTTTCTGCTCTTGGGAATTTAAAGTGTGAAGTGACCAATTTAGATCACTCTGTCTTGGGTACTCTGTAGAAAGATAGTCAAGTGACGAAGCAGCATGCTTGAATTTTGCACTTTTTACTAGCTTTATAAAAACGATACTTAAAGCAACAAAATGTAGTATTTCGCGTGATAGTTGAACGGGCAACAAAAGCAGCTTCTTAAACAGTTTCTTTATGCATAAAATTTACTTCTGTCAAGCTTTTATGCACTTGTGGGTTCAGAAACTTCAGCAGAGTGCTGAGGCATTCAAATTCTAACAATACGTTATTTCAATATTTTGGGACACCCTGTATACGCAATATTATAGTGAATGTTATATAGAACGTTTGTAAAGAGGATGGGGGCTTATTTTTTCAGCACTTTTGGACTGGGGACTAATTGGAGGGAAGGGGGTCTAAATGCAGGGATAAAAAGTCTGGGGACTAAATAGAGGAAATACGGTAACCTCATGCTTAGGGCTTTGCACGGAAATTTATATAGACAAAAAGTTCAACGAACTGTTGAACTGATCATCGAAAATACGAAACCTTAAGCTGACCGCAATTAAGATTTATTTTAGACTGAGCGCCAGCTAAAAACTATCCTTCAGAAGGTCATTAGTAACCAGTCCTAATTTTTTTGCATCCGGTGTCCCAGAAAGGTTTAATCCAGCGCTAGTGAAATGCGGGGTAAATAAGGTATTTGTTATCTATGTTCATCATTTACTATATATATTTTACGTGATTATATCACAATATTAAAAAAGTCTAAGCTGTATGATCTACCTTAAAATAAGACGACAAAGTTTCCCATACTAAATTGCATTTGATTGGTCTAATGGGAAACTGCAGAAAGTCATCGAATACATCTAACTATTAAAATTATAGAATTACGTGCTAAGTGTTTTCTAACATGCAATTTTTCAAAAATTGATTCATTAATTAATTCATCAATTCATTCATTATTTATAATTTACATGTATTTACCGAGACCGAGGGAAATAGCGTGGTTTTGAGACCTAAAAACTGACGAGCGGTCAAAGGGGTCACAAAAAGCTATTTTACCGAGGTTTCAGTAAATATAGATATTTGTTTTATTTCAAGTGTCAAATGACAAGGAATATAGTCGAAGCTATGCGCGCATAATGCTACGCGCTCCAATATAATTCCGCAAATGGTGTATACATACCAAAAATACACATTTCTCTCACTAGTCTCTTCACACACTGTACTTTATTCGTCAGTTCCAATCAATTTTATGTGACACATCTTTAAAAATTCTTTTTCTAAACTGTCGCTGTTAAAAAATCAACAGATAACCAGAAATTAGATGCATGCACTGGTCAAGAGAAAAAGACAGAATGTTATTTTGATAACATTAATTTATTTTAGCAGACACTTGTAAAACAACAGCAATAGAAAGTTTTTCAACAGTGATCCTTACACGAGAATTTACAACAAAGAAATTTAGAACCTTGCTAACCGTGTATGTATATTACTTACGGGCTTGACCAACACATCTCATAATCATTAATAATCCACAAAATAAATTAGCGATCTATATATTACTTTATTTTGGTCAAATGATGATAGTGGATACCTGGTCAAGTGTATTTGATCCAATCCTATATATAGGACTAAATTAATTCAGCGTCAGAAAATGATCAAAATTCATTCAGCCTTACGGCATTAGGGGCAATGATACAGTCGAACCCCTATAAACCCACCTCAATGCTAATAAAACACTATGAAGCAGACACCTCCTTTATAAGCGAACACACTTGTGAACTGACAAAGGTGTGCGTTTAAGTAAGGGCTCAACTGTATATTTCAAATTTGGCGGACTGGATCAGATTTCAAGTCCTCGCAGTGTGTCCTCATTTCAGAAATTAAAAATTAAAATATAAATTATGGCAATGTTTAAAAACCTCCTTTTATTTATACTTACTGTAGTTCAATTTCCCTATATTTCCAGGGATGGCGTTGGAAATACTTATCTCATCGGAAACATTCCCACTTGTGCTGGGTTCTCCAGAGTCCAGGCATTGGCTATCCAATATATTCGAGTGAAGGAGAGACGTCTTTGTCCCCTCGCAGTGATCAGCTTTCATTTCCACCGAGTTATTGTCTCTGACCAATGTGTCACAACAAAATTTAGAAGCAGATATCTTGGCCTGGGCTAGCTCTGCAAACAACATGATACACTTGGTGAAATCGCATTCTTCGAGACATGAATTTGTGTAATCGGAATGGCTGAAATCTTATCTAGTGAGGTCTGACTTTTGGAGATCAGGAACTTTCCCGGAATGTTGTCGATAGACGAGGTGTACAAGATGATGCTCAGAAAGGGCCACCTTTTTTTCCAAAATATTGGCTAGTGAAAGCTCTTTTTGGTGTTTTTGCGATTACGAATGAAAGCATTCAAAACCTTTCGACACTGTATGTACTAATATGTTATCGGATGGTAACGAGAAATCGATTTCGAGACTCAGTGTACTGAGAATCAATATCAGATTCACTTAATTCACAAAACGTTTAGTAATGATAAAGGAGAATGAGATTTCATTATGAAACCTCAAATTCGGATCTGACCTGATTTCAAGTCTTCGGAATTTGAATAAATAATTTAAAGTATTCGGACTAGAAATCTGGTGCTCATTCTGGCTTGGTTTCAAAATATTATGTCAATTTTAAAATCTCATTTATTTATACTTACCTTCGTTGCAGTTCAATTCCCTGTTGTTTCCAGTGATGGCTTCGCAAATATTGGTTCCATCCAAACAATTCCCACCTATACTGGATTCTACAGAGTTTAGGTGTGCGCCTTTAACATTGGAGAAAAGGAGCGACGTCTTCGTCCACTCGCAGTGATCAGCTTCCAGTTTTTCCAAGTTACTGTGACTGATTAATGTGTCACAAAATTTTGAACCAGACATCTTCGCCCCTCCTAGCTTTATAAACAGCATGACACACTTGATGAAATGGGATTCCTTGAGAGATGAATTTGTGAAATCGCAATGGCTAAAATCTGATCCAGTAAGGTCTGACTTTTGAAGATCGGCAACTTTCCTTGGTGAATGTGGTCGATAGACGGGGTGTACCAGATGATCCTCAGGAAGACGCAACTTACTCTTCAAAAAATTGGCTAATGAGGGCTTTTCCTTTTGAAGCTGATTGAAAGATTCCAAAACCTTTGGACACTGAATTAAAATGTGTAGTGGATTGTAACTGTATAGTTTATTTTGAGGTTTATTGTAATGAGAGTCAATTTCAGATTCATCAAAGTATTGGCCACTGGTGCAATTTTCATAATTAGAACAACAGTCTTTGCACAATTTTTCGCTAGTATCTTCATTGGTTGGGGTTTCATCCGCGGCAGCTGTTTCACCTTCACCGTTTTGACTAACACATTTCTTTACTTCAAGAAACTGTCCGCGATAACCATACTTGCATTTTTTACCATCTTCGTTTGGTTTAATAAAATGCTTAAATTCCGCGCCATCCTTTCCGAAAATCATTCGTCGCAAGCCAGGTTTTCGAAACACATTTGGAGCAGACCACTCAATATCCTTCGTTCTTGTAAGTATTTTTTTCTTTTTTATTTTGCCATCTTGTAGTACTTTCTTAAGTAAAGTGTTTCTGTCGAATGTATCGTCTGTCTCTAGATCAAACATCAAATCGACCGCACACTCTGCTAAAATTTCAACTTGCTTATCACTTTGCAGTTCAAATAACTGGGACTCAAAAATACGAGATAATTCTTTGGCGACGTCCTTCACGATACAATTCAAATAAGATGAAATTTGCTCTGTTGTTGTCTCAAGCACTTCCTCGATTACTTTGGCTTTAGCTTGTTGTTTGCGTTTATCGACAATTTTAACAAGAA